ATATTTGCTTGGTGCTTCCTTTTAATCTCTCTGGCTTCCCTTCCCTTGAAAAAAAAATTTGCAGCTAGCATTTTATCGATTGAGACAGCAGATACAATAGGTTTAGAACCATGGATACTTTGAAAAATCCAAGTTCCAAGTCTTTTGTGCTTAGTTATCAAGTTGTGGCCGCTTCCCATCAACCATCAGCTGACCAGCTTTTTGTGGTTATGGTGCTCTACCCTTGGACAACCTAGTAGTGCAGGTAGCGGTGGATGGTGTAGGGTGACCAGGCTATCCCAATTTTAGCAAATTCCTGCTCCAGGAAACTGTGGTCCCAGGCAAAAAGAAAACTGGGATGTTGGTGGTTTGTAGCAGTTGAGGGAGGATGGGAGACCACGTAGAAATGAGAGGTAGAAAGTAGAAAGTATCAATACTTTGGAGCAATGTATATCTGCATTTGAATCCTGGCTCTACCACCAACCATCACTTCACCTCTCTGGTCCTGTGGAGAACTCTGGGAAAACAGAGAATTTTCTGTTACAGCCATGCGCTTGGCTTCTGTCTTGCTATTTATTTATCAGCCCCTTCATGTGTTTACTCATCAAAAGCAGAGAATGAGGTCTGTGTGCTGGAACAGACCTGGGTGCTAGAGGTGCAAACTGAAGGCTCACAGTTCTGCCCTCTCCGAGCCCAGAGCTCAGCGCCATCTGTGTCCCTGCAGCCATAGTGGAGGCTTTTCAGTAGCAATCCTGCAGGACTTTCTGCCTGGATGGTCCACATTCATCGCTCTTGTAACGCAAGAACAGCCTTTCTTCCTGGGAGATAGGAGTCTGAGCTCCTTAAAGACAGCCTTTCAGACTAAAAGAATCAGATCTTTCTTGACCCTTCAGATTTTGAAAGCTGTTAGTCCTACTCTCTTTAAGTCTCATTTTCCCTATTTGGAGTCCCAGCTCTGTCCCTTACTAGCAGTGTAACCTTGAGCAAGTGACAACTGCTTTTCGGGCCTTAGTTGTTCTGTAAAATAGGGATAATAGTGATTCCCGTCTCATGAGTTGTTAGGTAGATTCAATGCGGTCATTCCTATTGAGCATTTAGCAGAGTGTCTGCCACATAGTTAACAATAAATGGAAAGAATGAAATGATTCCATTTTGTGTGTGTCTCCGAGGGTCTTGGGGCCAGCTCCTCTCTACCCCTTGCCCAGACTCCGAGCACCTCAGACAGAGGAGCCACATCTCATTGTATTTGCCTCCGTGTCCACACCCAACCCCTGCCTGGTAGATAGTAGGTGCTTAATAGTATTGGTTTATGACCTGATGGTGTTGATGATATGACTTATATTCCAGGGTTAAAAAGGGTAAGATAAGAAAATACATTTGAAAGCACACTGTAATAAAAAGCATAACACTGGGTATGTCGTTCCACTAAGATGTTTATCATAGTGCATTGTTCATCACTTGTTCACGTATCTTTTCTGCCCTCTAGTTTGAGTACTTCTCCAATGCAGACTACATCTTATCTCTGAATCCCACTCCAACACCTGTCCAGTGTCCTACACAGAGTAGATGCTCAGGTAGTTTAATTGAATGCAAATGTCATACAAAAGTAAGGAATTGAGAAATTATTATTAGGGCTGGGAAAGAGGGCTGGGAAATACAGACCAGTTCTTCTTTCCTTCATGGTGCTACCTTTACACAAGCAGACACTCAAATGTTCCTTTAAAAAAAACTTGTTCCCAGGGGAGTGAGGAAATAGAAGGAGGGCAAAGGAGGAAGGGCAGAAATAACAGTTTCATGATCCGAGCACCTGCCCCTAGAAGCTGGCACTTAGGGCACATCTGCACAAGCTCTTGGGTGGAATTAATGTGATCAGCTTAGAGTTTGGGGGTTCCCGCCCTGATTCATTATCAGCTGAAAACTGTTGAAGTGTTTGGCATACCCAAGGTGTATTAGCTGCGGAGTTTTGTCAGCTGGTACAGATTGGGGCTCCTCTCCTATGAATGGGCTGTTGGGGCCAGTGTTTTGAGGCTCTGGGCTTGTCTGGGCAGTATGGGAAGGTTAGAAGTATCTAAGTGAGGTCCTTACTCTTCTGACTCCCCAAAGGGTCATCTATCAAAAGTTCCTCTTTTGCATCCTCAGTGGCTCAAAAGAATATGCCAGTGTGTAAGGTCATTGTTACAACAGCTGATGGTGGTGCTGAGGAAGGGCCCCTGCAAAGTCATGTTCTGAGATTGGCCCTGTTCTTGGTCTTGGAGGGAAGGCTTGGCTGATGGGTATGCAACATTGGAGAGGTGTTCAGGACAGGTCCAATTTGCTGTGTTCTGGCCCCCAGGCATTTCAGGGGTCACTCCTCTTCACATGGAGCCGAGGCTGGCTTGTTCCCCCTCTCTGGGAGGGTCATACTTAGTGTGAGCACTCAGGTTGGCTCCATTTCCCCAGGGGTGAGGAAGCTAGCAGCAGGAAAGATTGAGCTGCAGCAGGGAAACCCAAAGGCCAAGTTTTAAGAGTTATCTGTTGGGGATGCTGACTCGGTGCTGGTCAGAGTGGGAGCTGAAGCGCTTACTATTTTACAATAAATACTAATAAAATTCTAGATCTATAATAACATTTCAGATCTCTAAAACAAACCATGTGCTTGTAAAAAAGTGGAAAGAGATCAACTTTAAGCCATAAATTCTTGGTAATAGAGGGGTTTTTTTCTATTTATGTTTGATAGATATTTTTGTTGCCAGAGGAATGTCAACTCCTAATTTCATAATGTATCATGGGCTTAAGAAAATTGAATTTAATAAAAGCCAGAGATGAATGGCATCCTTAAAGGTCCCAACACTTGTCTTTATTAGCAGGACAAACAGCAGGTCTCCAAACACTGCTTCTCTCCAAATGAAAGTTTAAATGAAAAGTACAGTTGTGTCACAGGTTAAATTTCATTGTGGGCCCAGCTAACATTGTTAGTGAGGAGCTGGCTGTATTTGTTTCCTTAGACGCCAGGGCAGCCAAACTCACCAGGCTACGGAGGTCTTTCTGTTGGGGAAGTGTTTCTCCTACTTACCGGCAGAGGAAGGATATATCAGAAATGAGCCTGACTCAGATGAGCCTCACCTCAGGGTTAGCACTTGGAAATCTTGGGTATCTGATTTCGAAATACACATTGGGGAACCAGTGCGTATTTTCTGTGTGTGCCTCAGTTCTGTTTTTCAGAGCCGAACTCTCCTTTCTGGCCTACTTCCTCGTGCGGTGGGAGGAGAGGCATTACCTAGTTTAAGCAGCAGCCTGGGCTTCCTCTCTGTTCCCTTCTGCCTCAGTCTTGCACTCTTTC